CCATAGAGCTGATCGGAGACCGGAATGGCTCTGATCATCTCTGTGGTCTTAGAAATCGGAAGCGATGAGCATTTCATCACTTCTGTTTTTTTTGGTTATAAACAAACCCTCCCTTAGGGGTTATTAAAAAAGCATCGGAACTTGCCAATCTTGGTATGGTCCAAAACTTCTAAGAGGAGAGATTTGAGTTCTAATAGACTCACTAAAGAGTACCCGTTACTGCCTATTGCTTTCACTGGGGATATTTATATTTCATATGATAACAATAAGAAATTAAAGGGACAGTGTAAAAATAAAATACATTAAAATGCCCCCGCAGTCGCACGCGTTGGTTCCACATGCATATGCAAACAGCGATCATGCTACATGTGAGGTATCACCTGCTAATGTCAAATTGAGGGCAGTAATTCTAGCACCAGACCACCTGTGGAATTCTAAAGCGTTAACCTGTAAAGGTTTTTAAAGTGTCGCCTATGGATAATAAAATTTACATAGTTTGTCGCCGTTGCACGGGCATGCACAATTTTGAAGCGTGACATTTTTAGTATCTATTTACTTGGAGTAACAATATCTATTATATGTTACCAAAACAATTGGACATCATATTGTGTTTTTATGCATTAAACTTCTTAGAAAAAAAAAATTACGCTTGAAAAACTGCTGTACAAATCACATGTGAAAAAATAATTGCATTGACCACCGTTTTATTCTCTAGGGCCTTTGCTAAAATATATGTATATAATATAATTGGGGGGGATCCTGAGTAATTTTCTAGAAAACAATACTGATTTTTACTTGTACAGTGTCAGAAAAGGGCTGGTCCTAAAGTGGTGACCTTTAAGCACCACAGCAAGTTATGATGCATAATAAAGTGCACTGCAACACGTGCTATGTAACAACGCATCCTGTTCTACTTTTTTCCTGCACACATCAACGCAGCACAGTGTTATGACTTAGAACAATAGGATGCAGTGGGAAAAATAATTATTTGATCCCCTGCAGATTTTCTAAGTTTCCCACTTATAAATTAATGAAGGGTCTGTAATTTTTTTTTATCATAGGTGTATTTTAATTTGTAGAGACAGAATATCAACCAAAAATCCAGAAAAAAAACATGATGCAGATGTTATAAATTGAGTAGCAGTTCAGTGAGTAAAATAAGTATTTGATCCCCAAGCAAAACATGACTAAGTACTTGGTGGAGAAACCCTTGTTGACAAGCAAGCACAAGAGGTAAGATGCTTCTTGTAGTTGGTTACCAGGTTTGCACACATCTCAGGATCTTCTCTAAATCCTTAAGGTTTCTTGGCTGTTGCTTGGCAACTTGAAGTTTCAGCTCCCTCCATAAATTTTCTATAAGATTAAGATCTGGAGACTGGCTAGGCCATTCCATGACCTTAATGTGTTTCTTCTTGAGCCAATACTTTGTTGCTTTGGCGGTATGTTTTGGGTCATTGTCGTGCTGGAAGACCCATCCACAACCCATCTTCAGTGTTCTGGCTGAGGGAAGAAAGTTCTTACCCATGATTTTACAGTAGATGACCTCGTTGATTGGCCCCTGAATGCGACAAAGTCGGCCTGTACCTTTAGCAGTTTCCACCTCTGTAGGGGTGGTGTTCTTAGGGTCATAGTCAGCATTTTTTCTTCCTCCTAACACGGCGAGGCAAGTTAATGCCAAAGAGCTCAACTTTGTTACCATCTAACCACAGCACTTTCTCCCAATTCTTCTCTGAATCATTAAGATGTTAATTCGTAAACTTCGGACCGGCCTGTTCATGTGCCTTCTTGAGGAGGGGGTTCTTGCAGATGCTGTATATTTTCAGTCCATGTTGGTGTATTGTGTTACCAATGGTTTGTTTGGTGACTATGGTCCCAACTGCTTTGATATGATTCACAAGCTCCTCCTGTGTAGTTCTGGGCTGATCTCTCACTTTTCTCATGATCATCCTTACCTCATGAGGTGAAATCTTGCATGGAGCTCCAGACCGAGGGCGATTGATGGTTATTTTGTATTTCTTCCATTTGCGAATAATCGCTCCAGCAGTTGTCTCCTCACCAAACTTCTTGCGGATTGTCTTGTTGCCCATTCCAGCCTTCTGCAGGTCTACAATCTTGTTCCCGACGTCCTTTGACAGCTCTTTGGTCTTGCCCATGGTGGTGATGAGGTTTGAATGGAAGAAAGAGATTCTGTGGACAGCTGTCTTTTTATACACGCGAGTTGTCATTCTGAGCTCCTACCTAAATTGACAGGACTAATCTGTCCATATAGCCAGTCAGTGGGAGCCAGAATTATTGTTGGTTGGTAGGGGATCAAATACTTATTTTACTCACTCAACTGCAACTCAACTTATAATATTTATATTGTGAGTTTTCTGGATTTTTGGTTGATAGTCTGTCCCTATCATTTTTAAATACACCTATGATAAAAATCATAGACCCTTCATTTCTTTGTAAGTGGGCAAATTTACAAAAGGGATCAAAAAAATTTTCCCACTGTATAAGGCGAATTGCCTTGTTTATGATTAGGCAGGAACACTGGCCAGCATGATCCAGTGGGGCTCACATGAACAGCTGAATGGGGCTTTTGAATGGGAATATTGTGTCACAATCTCAAGACCACCAGTTGGCTTACAGGTGTGACGCAGCCCCATTCACTTTTGGTAATGACTGCCGAATTAACCAGCAGGACAATAGCATACTATTCATTAGAGGTAAATTATTTGACTGGTTCTGCATCCCAAACAAATGTGCAGGGAGGTTTCCCGCACCGCTCCTGTGTGAAATCAGGCTATGACAAGCCTGGGTTCACACAGGAGCAGTGGGAAATCGCATGCAATTATGACAGGAATCACATACTATACTTTGTGGTGCCATTTGCGTCCATACAGTTTGTATGAGTGCAAATTGCACCGCAAAATATCGTTGTTTTTGGGTATTGGGAGCATTTTTATGAGTATTTATGAAAATACTCTGTATCGGCGCATCCCTAGTGTTGCCATTGTAGCCAAATTTTTGACACTATAAAAAAAAAAAAAAAAAATTATATCTGGGTGCTCACTGTGTCAATAAGGGGTCACACACAGCAAGACATAACCGTTCCAGTCATTCTGTTGGTATGCATTAAAAATTTTTTTACATTGGACACATTAATTATGATTTTAAATAAGAGTGAAATGTTCATTTGATTTAGATACTACTTAGATCTGGAATCATTAGGCTGGGTTTACATCCTCGCAGTGTGATGACATACGCTATATTGCTAGTATTGGGATACCCCTCCAAATCATTGGATTCAGGTGGATTCCAATCACCTCCATGGCAGGTGTAGAAAATCAAGCACCTAGGCCTGCAAACTGCTTCTACAAATATTTGTGAAAGAATGGGTCACTCTCAGGAGCTTATTTAATTCAAGCATGGTATCGTGATAGGTTGCCACCTGTGCAATAAGTCCATCCATGAAATTTCCTTTCTATTAAACATTCCATGGTCAACTGTTAGTGGTATTATACCAAAGTGGAAGCAACAGGGAACAGCAGCTACTTAGCCACGAAGTGGTAGGCCATGAAGAATGACAGAGCGGGCTCAGCACATGCTGAAGTGTGCAGAAGTCGCCAACTGTCTGCAGAATCAAAAGCTAAAGACCTCCAATTTTCGTGTGGCCTTCAGATTAGGACAACAGTGCTTAGAGAGCTTCATGGAATGGGTTTGCATGGCTGAGCAGCTGCATCCAAGCCTTACATCACCAAGTGCAATGCAAAGTGTCGGATGCAGTGGTGTAAAGCATGCTTCCACTGGACTCAAGAGCAGTGGAGACATGTTCTCTGGAGTGACAAATCATGCCTCTGTCTGACAATCCGATGGACATGTCTGGGTTTGGTGGTTACCATAACAGCACTTGCCTGACTGCATTGTGCCAAGTATAAAGTTTGGTGGAGGGGGGATTATGATGTGTTGCTTTTTAGGAGTTGGGCCTGGCCCCTTAGTTCAATTGAAGGGAACTCTTAAGGCATCCCAAGACATTTTGGACAATTTCATGCTCCCAACTTTGTGGGAACAGTTTGGGGATGGCCCTTTGTTTCAACGTGACTGCACACCAGTGCACAAAGCAAGGTCCATAAGGGCATGGATGAGTGAGTTTGGGGTGGAGGAACTTGACTGGCCTGCACAGTCCTGACCTCAACCTGATGGAACACCTTTAGGATGAATTAGAGCGGAGACTGGGATCCAGGCCTTCTCTTCTGACATAAATGCCTGACCTCACAAATGCGCTTCTGGAAAAATGGCCAAACATTCCCATAGACACAACCTTGTGGACAGCCTTCCCATAAGAGTTGAAGCTGTTATAGCTGCAAAGGGTGGGCCAACTCAATATTGAACCCTATGGACTAAGACTGGGATGCCATTAAAGTTCATGTGCTTGTAAAGGCAGGCGTCCCAATACATTTGGCAATATAGTGTATGTTGTGTTTTGGTTTGCTGCAGTGCCAATAATTTTGAATGGCATGCCAGCACACTAAGACATTCAAAATGATCTTCCTTAATGCAACGCATGTTAACATACAATGTAATTCTTGTCGGCATCCATGAAAAATGGAGAACCCGGCCTTACAGTTTTGCTTGTATGGATTTAAATTAAAATTCCAAACTTTTTTTCATACCTGATATGAAGTCCCCCCATGTATACCATGGTACTGTTTTGTAATTGTTTAAAAATGAGTACATATAGTAACATCTGTTTTGGTGTTAACTGGACAAATGTCAAAACAAAAGCTCTATCTGGACCTTGACTCTTAAAGCACTTCTGGTTCCTAGCTAAATGTTATGAGAGCGATTCTGTTATAACCCCTCCCACGTTATGCAGCTGTAAAAAGTCTAACATTTTGATTAGAAATTATAGTTACCATGATGTCTTTGTTCAGTCTAGAATCGATCACAAAATGGGTGACGAAGATATAAGCGAGAGGAAATTGAAAATTGCATCGATCCTGGACAGAGTTAAAAAACTTAAGAAGAATGAAGATACTTTAAAGTATAGCAGTGAAGATAATTGGACAGGTGAACTGATCTTCACAAAATCATCTGCTGATACAACAGGTAAGAATCAGGTGCTGTTTTGTTACAAACTGGAGGGTCAATATCCTTCCTCCTCTCTTGTGGTGTGTTGTATTTTTATTTTTTTTTTTTGTATATAGAACAGGGAATACAGTTGTCATTTTAGTCTTGCTAGCAAAGCTATACTGTAGGCAGTCCTCATGGTGATCTAGATCAGGGGTCTACAAACTTTCTAAACAGAGGGTCAGTTTACTGTCTTTTAGATTCTGAGGGGGCCGGACGGTGGCCAGTGAGAGTAGTTGGGGTCAGTGGTAAGAACAGTTCCCTATTGTTGGTATCGGTGACAGGAATTATGCCTCGTTGTTGGTGTCAGAGGGAGGGACAGTGCCTTGTATCAGTGGGAGGAATAGTATCCCAAGGGCCGGATAAAGGCAAGCAAAGGGCCACATCCAGCTCCTGGGTTGCAGTTTGGAGACCACTGATCTAAATCATCCCTTGTACATTTGCTGAATGCAGTTCAGTAGTGTGTTAAAAAGGTGCATAGATATACCGCACAATTAATAAAAGCATGTTGTGCCTTTTTCATTTTAGAACTGTGGCCCCGTTCACACCTGAGCAATTTGTAGCTCAAAGCTCCAAAATGCTTGAGGAGCAAAAATAAGTTCTCAGTGGAGATGGTTCACATCTTCACTCCAAGCCGCCTGAAGCTCAGACAAGTTCTGGAGCTTTTTTTGTAGCTCAAATTGGGAAGAATTGCGCATTTTTATTTCCATAGAAATGCGTGAAGTGCCTTTTATGAGTATTTTCGTGAGATTTTTCAGCTCAAATGAAAAAAAAAAATAGTAATGTATGAATAAATGTAAAAAAAAATAGTAATTATACAAATAAACATCATTAATAAAAATAAATGAATGTTTTAAATGTCTCCTTAACCTTAACTCCCTAACCCAAACAAAACAAAATTATTTATTTTGTTTTAGGGTGTTTATTATTATTTTTATGTTATTCTTTTAACTGCTTCCCGCCTGCTCACCCGCAATGTACTGTGGTAGGGCAGCTACAGGCAAAGTGATGTACCCACTGCTTCCCCGCAACTGCTGTGTCGGGCGGACACAGCGGAATGAAGATCCCGATGAACTGGACCCGGTGATCATGTGATCGCTATGCGTTCACATGATCACAATGTAAGCAAAGCTGTTATGAATCAATCTCATTCATAACGGCTCTGCTTCTCCTAGTGAGCTGTGATTGTCCCACAGCTGTCACATGATACATGGGGTCAATCACAGCACCCTGTACCACGTGACCAGCTCCAACCAATCACAGATCACTATCTTGAGCTGTCAAAAACCTAACTCATTCATGAAAGTTAATGACTGAGGTAGGTTCATGGCAGCAAGCTTTGCATTGTAGGAGAAATGATCTTTATTTCTCTTGCAAAGCAAAGTGTATAAAAAAAAAATCTCTGATCACCCCCCACAGTAGTACAATGTTACTATGATAACATTGTACTATTCTGATAAAAGTATAACAAATGAATGTTAGAAAATTTAATAAATACCATATTGAAAATTTAGGGTATGAACACGCCTTTTTTTTTATAACAAAAAGTGAAAAATATAGGGTTTTTCTAAATTTTCGGTCTTTTTTTGTTTATAGCACAAAAAGTGAAAACCACAAAGGTGATCAAATACCACTAAAAGAAAGCTCTATTTATGTAAAAAAAAAAAAAAAAAGACATAAATTTCGTTTGGGTAAATCATTGCATGACCGTGCAATTACCAGTTGAAATAGCGCAGTGCCGAACAGCAAAAAAAATGGCCTGGTCAGGAAGGGGGGTAAATCCTCTGGAGGCAAAGTGGTTAAGGTTAGAGGTTAATATAGCATAGTATTCATTTTCTGTACTTGATTATTTTTGTGTATTTATTTTATATTTACTTATTCATTTATTATTAACCCTCTAACAAAAAAAAAAGGAATAAATAAGACAAAATATTAACCCCTACACAAAACCCTAATTCTGACGCTAACCTAACCCTAACGCTAATCCCTTGTCCTAACAAAAAATAAATAAAGGCTAAAAACAAGTATTTCTCTAATAGCTAATAAAAAAAAAAAAGCCAAAGCTTAAAAATGTTGTATAAAATCTTGCAAAATACGCACAAAAATCATTCAAATTCACTTTGCTCAAGTGTGAATGCAGCCTAATTGCCTGCAATGTTGTGGTGGTTGGTGCTTTTTGATATTTTAAAAGCGCAAGCAGAAGAGGGCAACCACTTCAAACAACTATTTCACTAAAAGGAACAACTATCGCCATATGTTTTTCTTTTTTTTTTTTTTTCCTATTACACTGGATTTTGTTCAGAAAACCTATTCACCTGCCCTACAAATTCAGCTTTATTCTGCTGTGATTTGCCGATCCTGTGCTGTCACCTACCCTTGCCAAATCGCCTGGAGCCGACTGTCTCTTCTGAGTTTTTGCAGCTAGCCCCCCAATGTCACACTGCCATTTGTGTGTCCCTGCTCCTCCTGCCACCTGGGATAGGTGTGGGGGGATATCCCAGGAGCTTGTAGTTGTAGGATATTACATTCTTGCCTAGGCAGAGGGTGGGCCAGGAGGAACAAAGTTATTTTTTTTTTTTCCCCCCCTCCATGTTGCAGGGGTGTGGATTGATCATAGTTTCATGCTGTCATTCGTTGCCCTGCATACACAGCCTATAGTAGAGAAAATCTTCAAATTCTTGTGTCAGCAGTTTCAATATTCCCTGGATCAATTTTACCTATAAATGTTAGTATCCAGTTATATTCTGTGTATCTAGGGAAGAATCCATGACTTTTTTAAAGCAATCCACTGAGCTGGCCAGAATCAACTCTTGAGGGAGTCTGTTCCACATTTTCACAACTCTCACTGTGAAGAAACCTTTCCATTTTTGGAGATTAAATTTATTTTCCTCAAGATGTAAAGAGTGCCCCCTTGTCCTCTGTGATGACCTCAGGGTGAATAGCTCTACACCAAGTTCACTATATGAACCACTGATGTATTTATATATGTTGCTCATATCCCCCCTTAATCTCCTCTTCTCAAGAGAGAATAAATTCAGTTCCTCTAATCTTTCCTCATAGCTGAGCTCCTCCATGCCTCGTATCAGTTTGGTTGCCCTTCTCTGTACTTTCTCTAGTTCCCCTTTTTGTGAATTGATGCCCAAAACTGAACTGCATATTCCAGATGAGGTGTTACTAATGATTTGTACAGGGGTAATATGATATCTCTCTCTCTGGAGTCTATACCTCTTTTAATACAAGAGAGGATTTTGCTCGCTTTAGAAACCGCAGCTTGGCATTGCATGCCATTATTAAGCTTGTATTCTACCAGAACTCCCAGATCCTTCTCCACCATTGATTCCCCCAGTTGTACCCCCCCAGTATGTATGATGCATACCTACTCTTAGCCCTCAAGTGCATAACCTTACATTTATCAACATTAAACCTCATTTGCCACATAGTTGCCCAATTAAACAGTGCATTGAGGTCGGCTTGTAAGTTGAAGACATCCTGTAAGGACGTTATTCCACTGCACAGCTTGGTGTCATCTGCAAATACTGAAATGGGATTTATAATCCCAGACCCTATAACGTTTATAAATATATTAAAAAGTAAGGGTCCCAACACTGAACCCTGGGGTACACCACTGACAACCCTAGACCATTCTAAGTATGAATCATTAACCACTACTCTCTGAATACGATCTTTTAGCCAGTTTTCTATCCATTTACATACTGATTTTCCAAGCGCATAGACTTTACCTTACACATTAACCATATGTGGGGAACTGTGTCAAACACTTTTGCAAAATCCAAGTATACCATGTCCACCGCCACCCCTCTGCCCAAGGTTTTGCTCACCTCCTCATAAAAAGAAATCAGATTTGTTCGACAACTTCTGTTTTTCATGAATCCATGCTGTCTGCTGCTTAAAATATTATTTTCCCGCAAGAACTCATCTATGTGGTCTTTTATTAAACTCTCCAGTATCTTCCCAACTATAGAAGTTAAACTAACAGGTCTATAATTACTTGGTAAAGATTTTTGAACCCTTGGCCTTATGCCAGTCCAGTGGTACTATGCCAGTCAGTAAAGAGTCCCTAAAAATGAGAAACAATGGCGTTGAAATGACATATAACTAAACTAATACCCATTTAGAACAATGAAAATATTTGAAAGTGTAAAATGTCTTTTAAGATGAATGTTAAAGCCCATTTATGCAATATTCCTGCATTTTTGATGCAGAAAAAAATGCACTGGGCTGCATCTGGTGTGAACTGGCCCTTATGCAAACTATAAACATCATGCCTCATGCACATGTACACACACTTTGAGGCTTAAATTGTGCTCTGGTGTAAAATTATAGCATTTTTCTTTTCCTGGGGAACAACCGTTGATCGTGGAAATGAATTGATGTATGTGGCCATACATGCTTTTCGTGCATTACCATAAATGCTTGTGCATGCTGTATATTCCCCAAACTCTGAAATTTGGCGTACACATGTTCATGCCAGCACACACAAGTATTTGCACATACAGTATTTGAGTATGGCCATTCACTTCTATGCCTGGCTATGCGTGCCACCTGCAGCTCCCCGGGTGGGAAAAAATTCCAGAATTTTAAGCTAGAGCATATTTTATCCCTCAAACCATCCAGTTGCATGAGGCCTAAATTTTAATCAAAATTTAACCATTACAAAAAATATTTTAAAGTAAAATTTACCAAACACCTTTTTTATTCCCTTTTTAATTTTGGACAGGTCCAGGGGAATTGTGTCTGATTCATCAATATCACTCTCCTCTATAGTCCCATTTTTGCAGTTACTCTTTTTCTAAATGTTCCATGCAGAGTGCCTTTAACTCTGCTTTAGTGGACAATTCAAATAACACTTCTGGCAGAGCAGAATAGGACTGATTCCAGAGTATTGGATGAGAGAAGTACAGTATAGTAGACTTTGACAACATTATAAAATTCAGTTATCTTAAATTTGAACTTTGGGCAAAACTTTTTCTTTTCTTTTTTTTTTTTTTTTTTTGAATTATGGATAGAGTAAGGGAGGGTTATAACCACTGTCAGATTTTTTAACAATCTGTGTCCCATTGTGGTGATTTCCCTAAACTTCCTGTCCCACAGTCAAAACAGGAAGTGAGGAAATCCCTGCAAATGAAGAGAATTCCATGGGGACCCATAGGAAGATTTCCCCTTTATTACTTTTCTGGGGACAATCCAAAATGTGTGGTTTTCTTTTACTTTCACTGTCACTGATAATGCTAAACAGGACAAATGGAGAGGATGAATCTCCCTAATGGGGACCAAAAGCAATAAAAATGATAGGTGTTTTAACCCCTCTCCACTCTATCCAAAAAATAAAAAAAAAATGTTGCCTTTCTTTATACTTTAAATACCATTAAACTTCAGATTAAGCATCTGGAAACCCAAAGATGTTTGAAGGGAGGTGCTTGTACTTTGGCGATATTGCTGCAGTAGCATGTGTGCTGAGCCGCAGATATACTTTAATCGGAGAGTGGGACTGGTACCTGCAGCCACCAAAGTCATTCACAAAAACGTTTCTGTACTTTCATTCGTCGTACGGCATTAGTCTAATAGGGAATCGAGAAATGACAATACTTAGATATTCTGTAGAAAACCATAAGTATGTCAAAAACATGGCAACCTGGGCAAATCCCATTTGCTATGGTAACTGGAATAAGTTCCTTGGCAGCTAGAATGCCCTGTCAGCCCTAGCAAGCATGCTGACATTGGCACAATGCCATTTTTCCTGTTCTCTTTCTTCCTGCTCTTACCATGTCTCGCCTCCCTTTTAGACATCCTCTTTCCTCTCTCACACATCAGATCTCAATGGGGAAAAAATATGCCGGATATCTATGCTGATATGGACTGGGTAATGTGCTAGGAATGTAAGGATGACCCATCATTTGATAGAAATGAAAATGATCAACCTACAGAGGACTGAATTCAAAGATACCCCCAAAAATCAAAGTGAAAAAATGATGCAGCAGGCTAGTCCATTTTGCTGAAATTTCATTGCAGCAATTCAAAATGGTACTCAGTAGTTTGGTTGGCCCCCACGTGCTTGTATGCATGCCTAACAACATCGGGGCATGCTCATAATGAGACAATGGATTGTGTCCTGGGGTATTTCCTCCCAGATCTGTATTAGGGCACTGAGCTCCTGGACAGTCTGAGGTGCAACCTGGCAACGTCGGATTTAACAAGACATGATATCCCAGAAGTATTCTATTGGAATTAGGTCAGGTGAACGTGGTGGCCATTAAATGGTATCAATTCCTTCATCCGCCAAGAACTGCCTGCATACTCTGGCCATTGTCGTACACCAGGAGGAACCCAGGACCCACTGCACCAGCATACCGTCTGACAATGGGTCCAAGGATTTCATCTCGATACCGAATGGCAGTCAGGGTGCCATTGTCTAGCCTGTAGAGGTCTGTGTGTCATTTCATGGATATGCCTTTCCAGACCATCACTGACCCACCACCAAAATGGTCATGGTGAATGATGTTACAGGCAGCATAATGTTCCCTACAGCTTCTCCAGACCTTTTCACGTCTGTCACATGTGCTCAAGGTGAACCTGCTCTCATCTGTGAAAAGCACAGGGCACCAGTGGTGGGCCTGGCAATGCTGGTGTTCAATGGCAAATGCCAATTCCGCTCTATAATGCTGGGCAGTGAGCACAGGGCCCACTAGAGGACGTCGGCCCCTCAGGCCACCTGCATGAAGTCCGTTTCTGATTGTTTGGGCAGAGACATTCATACCAATGGCCTGCTGGAAGTAATTTTGTAGGGCTCTGGCAGTGCTCATCCTGTTCCTCCTTGCACAAAGGAGCAGATGCTGGTCCTGCTGCTGTCCAGCTCTCCTAGAGTAACTGCCTGTCTCCTGGAAACTCCTCCATGATCTTGAGACTGTGCTGGGAGACACAGCAAACATTCTGCCAATTGCACGTATTGATGTGCCATCCTGGAGGAGTTTGACTACCTGTGCACCTCTGTAGGGTCCAGGTATCGTCTCATGCTACCAGTAGTGACCCTGACCCTAGCCAAATGAAAACTTAGTGAAAAAAAGAAAAGACGAGTAAGGAAAAAAAAATGTCCGTGGCCTCCACCTGTAAAACCATTCCTGTTTTGGGGGTCGTCTCATTGTCACCCATCTAGTGCACCTGTTGTTAATTTCATTAACACCAAAGCAGCTGAAACTGATTACAATCCCATCTGTTACTTAACTGACCAGATCAATATCCCAGGAGTTTAATTGACTTGATTCTATGCTCTGGCTGTATGTTTAGGGTCATTGTCTTGCTGGAAGGTTAACCTCCACCCCAGTCAAGTCTTTTGCAGACTCTAACAGGTTTTCTTCTAAGATTGCCCTGTATTTGGCTCCATTCATCTTCCCATCAACTCTGACCAACTTCCCTGTCCCTGTTGAACAAAAGCATCCCCACAGCATGATGCTGCCACCACCATGTTTCAAGGTGGGGATGGTGTGTTCAGGGTGATGTGCAGTGTTTGTTTTCCACCACACAGAGCGTTTTTTCTTTTAGTCCAAAAAGTTAAAATTTAGTCTCCTCTGACCAGAGCACCTTCTTCCACATTCCAGAGCACCTTCTTCCATGTTTGCTGTGTCCCCCCACATGGCTTCTTGCAAACTGCAAATGGGACTTCTTGTGGCGTTCTTTCAACAATGGCTTTTTTCTTTCCACTCTTCAATAAAACCCAGATTTTTGGAGTGCACGACTACTAGTTCTCCTGTGGATAGATTCTCCCACCTAAGCTGTGGATCTCTGCAGCTCCTCCAGAGTTACTATGGGCCTCTTGGCTGCTTCTCTGATTTATTATTCTCCTTGCTGGCCTGTCAGTTTAGATGGACAGACATGCCTTGGTAGGTTTGTAGTTGTGCCATACACTTTCCATTTTGGTTGGTGGATTGAATAGTGCTCCGTGAGATGCCCAAAACTTGGGTTATTTGTTTTTTTTTTTTTTAACCTGACCCTGCTTTAAACTTCTCCGCAACTTTATCCCTGACCTGTCTGGTGTGTTCCCTGGCTTTCATGATTCTGTTTGTTCACTAATGTTCTCTAACAAACCTCTGAGGGCTTCACAGAACAGCTGTATTTATACTGAGTTTAAATTACACACGGGTGGACTCTATGTACTAATTAGGTTGCTTCTGATGGTAATTGGTTCCACTAGATTTTAGTTAGGGGTGTCGGAGTAAAGGAGGCTGATACAAATGCACGCCACACTTTTCAGATGTTTGGTATTCAAAATTTTTTACAAATATTTATTATTTTCCTTCCACTTCACAATTATGTGCCACTTTTTGTTGGTCTATTACATAAAATCCCAATAAAATACATTTACCTTTTTTTATTATAACATGACAAAATGTGGAAAATTATAAGGGGTATGAATACCTTTTCAAGGCACTGTAAATAAATTTTCTATACTGTATATATTAATATGCATATTAATGCTTGATACTTTCTATTCCTCCTTTTAGAACACTCTGGAGTTTTTAATCATCTTCTTACACCGAAGACCCCAGAAGAATGGCTGGCTTCTCTTTTAAAGTTAGAGAACACAGGCCTTCCACAGGTGGACCATGTACTTCTCAATAGACTGCTTGACAATTACAGTAATGCTGTTGGATCTCTTCCTGCAGAAGATCACAGCCACAATGAGAGTTATGCCAAAATCTTGGTCCGTTTTGCAGAACTGAAGGCGTAAGTATGACTCCCATATATTATGGGAAAGAAATGCGGTCATTTAACAATAGTCTTTATGGACAAAATTTGGGATAGAGTAAGGAAGTGTTCTAACCCTGTTATGCTTTTTTATTTATTTTTTTAACTATCTGTGTCCCATTGGGGAGATTCATCTTCTTTTCCTTTTCATTAGCCAGATCAGTAAATGAAAGAAAATCCATCCAAAGTGAGGGAATCCCTGGTTGTCACCAGAATTAGTGTCTCCATTGGAAGATTTGCCCTCTATTACTGTTTTAGAGACAACCCAAAATATGGGATTTTCTTTCACTTATGGTGAAAGATTTGGGTTGTCTCAAGAAGGGAAATAAAGGGCAAATGCTCCACTGGGGAGCCTGGGCCTGTGGTAAATGGCCAGGATAGCAAGCTACGAAGAAGATCGCAGAACATTTGTTAGATCTCTTCTTGGTGTCCTCTGTAACGAATGAACCTGGAAGCCACATCGTTTCTGGTTTCAGAGTTGTCATGCTATGAAGCATGATCTGTGGATGGATACGGCAGCTTTTACAGATGGGCATCATATCTGTCCATGTATGAAGGATACTCTAACTTAAGTGTTCGGTGGAACTTCCCTGCAAGAAACAAATTGTGAGGCTGCTCCTTGAGGATGATATCATGTATATTTCAATCCTCCTTCACATATATGATAAATGTGCAAAGTTCTATATTTAAAATGTCCCACACCACACAGTGAGTAATAAAGTGCTTGATATGGTGCTTAGTGATATATCCTTCTCCTAGTTGATCATTTCAGTGCTCCACCATGTGTGCCACTCTGATGCACTCACCACAGATCAATGACCCCTTATTTAAAAGGAAGACCATATGCACTTGTTATGTCAGGATCCTAATTCAGCCATATGCTACTATCTTTCTTCTCTATGGGCCTCTTGCTCAAAAGGACATACAGCTCTCCTTCAGTAAAGAATCAGTGTGTGTCAGAAGACAATCTCATAGTGTAGTATTTATTATCGGATTAAAATTTACAAAGAATAAAAATTAGGAATGACGCTCACATTTTCTGATCATCACTTCACTGGGTATACAGTATGTAAGAATTTACAACCACTTTAAGGGTATCTTCTGAGCCACAAAAGAGTGATTTTCTTTGCAGCTCTGTAAAGGCTGCTGTCCCAGGGAGTCACCACACTATACCTACAGTGGAGACGGAGAGGACTCATGGCTTCTATTCCAACTGGTTTCCAATTCCCAAGCCAAACAGAGTTGTCCAGCCTGTTCTGGACCTAGGGTTTCAACAAGTTCTTAAACGTACAGAAGTAAAGGATTGAACCCACTCAATCAATGATTGCTTTGCTTCAAGAGGAGATTTCGATATAAAAAGTGCCTACTTGCAGAACCCAATTTTTCTGATTTTTTTACGATCAGTGCGTACTTTTGGCCTGTCCAAGGCCCCCAGTGTGTTTACCAAGGTGTTGACTCCTAGAAATGTTGAGGATCTGAGCTATCCCCCTTTTGGGAGTATGTGGATGTCCTGTGCTGAACCTTCAAAAAGTGGGCCTTGGTTTCAACTCAACGTCTGAAGTACTTTGACTTAGTCCTCCAACATGGCAGAGGCAAATGTATCCCAGGTGGAGTCCCTGAGGTCATTGGAAAGTCATTTTAGTTGTGCCTGCATGAAGGTGCTGGGAAAGATGGCCCCCTTGCCCAATTTTACACTAGAGATTTTCAGCTCATTATGCTGTTGGTAGTGGACAAACCTCAGGTATCTTTGCATCTGACTCCCAAGACCAGATCAGCTGTGGAATGATGGATTTCCATGCAGATGTAGGATACTGAAAAATCATTTCTTCTGATGAACTGGAAAGTCTTAACTGCAGATGCCGGTCTTTAGGACTAGGGAGGTGTTCTGGAAAACCCTCTCAGTTCCTGGCATGTGACCATCCGTACAGTGGAAGTTGGCAATCAACATCCTGAAACTTCGGGCAATTCAGCTGGTTCTCCAACACTGGTCTGTCCATCTTTTGAGGTCTCCCTTTCTGGGTACAGTCAGACAATGTCACAATTGTGGTGTACATTAACCATCAAGGAGGAAGCAGACGTGGTCTTGTTATGGTCAGAACTTCACATTCGAGACCTCTTTGCTCTGCACATTCCCAGCATGGAAAATTGGCAGATGGACTTTTCAGCTGTCCGCAGCAGAATATGGTAGAATAGGTCCCTAGCCTAGTAGTGTCTGAAAGGATTTGTCTGTGGTGGGAGGTGCTAGATGTGGATTCCCTGGCATCCAGATTGAGTATCAAACTGGATAGGTTTGTGCTGGGGATCCTTGGGTGTTTGTGGTGGATGGTCTGGTGACTCCTTGGGATCAGTTTTCCCCAATTTATGCCCTCCCTCTACTGTAGCTTCTTTCTCACCTGTTGCACAGAATAAAGCTGGAAGGTGTTTTGGTGTTCCTGTTAGCACCTGTTTGGCCAAGAACATGGTATGCAGACACTGTAAAGCTCTTGGCAGCCAAGAGAAGGTCTTGCAGGTGGCTTTGTAGTGGGATTCCCTCCTGTTCTGTTTTTGTGTTTAGGTGTATTTGGTCTTGTAGCTGTGTTGCCAACTCCTCATGTTCAAGGGTTTGGGACATCCAAAGTAGTCATGAATATGAAGTCCTCTGTGGCCCATGATGTACTCAAAGGAAAGCATCTTATAGATAACCCCACAAAATGTTGCTTAACTGTAATACTATTAATACAGAGGAGGTATTCCCAAATATACAACCTGCAAGCTCCTTGCTGTATTAGGTAAAGAATGCCTTGTGTATCAAACTTTGTGTACTAAGGTGTTTTCTAAAGCTGCTAGTCAGATTCAAACTTGTATTAAAACTGGCCATACATTATACAATTTTCTTATTTGTTTTCCTTTAGGTTTACCTTCAACTATTGAGTGCAAGGGCCTGCCTGATTGCATACAAATTGAGTGTTTAGGGTTGACCTCATATAGTTTTGGTAAATCTGAATGGAAAATTGTACCAGAAAATCGTATGTTGTTGAATCTGCTTAATGGAGACACACCCACCCGACATGTTTACAGCTATGGATAGTTTTGCCTTAAGTGGATTACAGAGAAATCTGGCCAAATTGAACCTTGGAGTTCACAATACTTGGTAAAGTAACAGGTTCACTTAAGTGCTTCCTTTGCCAGCTACTCATATACATTGCATTCCTTTTGCTCCCTTGCCGCTCTTGCTGCTGGGAGTAGAGGAAGCCTATGTGTGCTCCAAGTCCCAATGAAGAAAAAGACATTTGGAACATACTGTGCAACCCCCCCTCAATAAAAGAAAAAACAAAAAAAAAACCCTCTCATGAGTCCTGGATCGATACAGAGCTGTGCCTACCTGCAGTTCTTCTCCCTTCTTTTATTCTTCAAACAGAATGATCGGGCAGCAGACTGTCAAATCAGATATTGTGAGCAGAAAGAAGATGGGGCTGAGCCACGCTGTGTGTGTCATTGGATGCACGTGACCCAGCTCGGGATTATGTCTGCCCCATAATTCCCTTGCAAAAGAGGAGGGGCCAAGATTGCCAGTAGGAGACCATGTAAGAGGAGGTTTGGGGTTGCTCTTTGCAGTACCGTTGCACAGAGCAGGTGAGTATAACCTGTTTATTATTTTAATTAAAAAATTACCTTTTTTAAACACTGATTATATCTGCCTTTACTATTTTTCAGCAACTGGTACTTTTTAAGGGTAATTCTCCATTTTTATTTTAGTATTCTAGATCCAGATGAGGCACGTGACCAGTTCCAAATTGCAAGATTAAACTGCAAAAAATTTGCTTTTGTACATGCTGCTTTTGCTCAGTTTGAGAGTTCAGAAGGTAATTTTCAATCATATTTAAACAAAGTTGTCTTTTATGTTTTGGTTTTACATCTCCTAATTGATAGTAAAGGTTATCAGAAAAACTTCTAAAACAAAACTTTCGATTTCTAGCTTAAGATAAGTTCACTTTTTAAAAAAAAACAAAAAACAATAAATGCACATTTTTTTCAGGTTTAAGAGGAGCTCCAGTCTCCTGTGTAAAAATTAAGTCAACAAATACTGTACCTGCTGACATTTAGTATACAGCCACTCGTCCCACGATCCAGTGGTGTGCTCACCCTAGCCAGTTTCATCTCTTGTCTGTCCCCGGCACCGGTATGTTAACTGTGGGCACCTGGCTGAGACAGCACACAGCGAGGTGCCAACTGCACATGCGCGAGTCCTGCTGTGCATTGTGAATGATCCTGCAGTCTTCTGGGACCTGTCACATTCAAAGGGCTATGGGGAGGGTGGAGAGGAGAACTTCTGCTTCTGATCAACTAGTCGGTCGGAGCGAAAGTGGGAATGGTTACCTGTCAAAATCAGGTATGCGCTCCCCAAAAGTGCCATTTCTTTACCAGGAGTGGGGGAGAAGGCCTTAAAGCAGAACTTTCCCTTTTGGGTGGAGCTCCGCTTTAGGGGAGAAAAAAAAAGTGCACTCATTTATTTATTTCTGGGAGCCTGCAAAGCATTGCACCTGCTATCAGCCGATCTTGGGTGCAGACACTCAGGATAGCTGTCTGCACATACCTCCTGTACGTGCATTGTTACTGAATTCCAGGAAGATCAATGATCTACAAGAGCACTTGCCAGCTCCCTTGCAGTTTACAGAGAACTACAAGTTGCCTGCTGCAGTGGCAAGCAGTATTTGTAGTTCATTTTTTCATAGATCTCCGTGAATGAATGATGTTACTATTCGGAACTCTGCACAGCTGCTCTGTTTATGAATTGTGACAACGGGTGCGGGGATGGGATCTCGCACTTGATGTCACAATGAGGGATCGTAGGGGTTGCAGGCAGGTGCTTTAGTAACATAGTACATTTTACGCCCTGAATATGGGTGTAACATGTTACTAAAAGTGAGCTTATCCTTTAAGCACTTGCAAAATGTGGCCTGGAAAAATTTTTCATGAATGTTCTATACTCTACATAAACATAGTAGCCAAGTTAGGGCTTTACTGATTTTTTCTTGGCCAGTAAAAAATCCACAGTGTTCTAATCTCACCACTAATAACTAGTGTGCAGAAGCTCCATATTTTAGTTTATCAATTAGGATAAAGCTCTGGGTTGTGGGCATTGCCTCAGCATGATCGTGTACAGTGCAAGGCTATTAACCTTGATCTATACATCAGGAGGCGAGCTTGCAACCAGAGCCTGAAGTGTCTTAGGAGGCACCGCTGGACCAGTATCAAGGGAGCTTGCTGGAGCCAGAAGTAAGGTAAGTGATACCTTAGCCCTGCACTTCTAGACAGTTTCTATGCAGGAATTTGCAGGCAAAAGTGACCTGTAATCGTATAGCATTAACTTTTACATGCGTAGAGCCATACAGCATATAAATGGCCTCTGTTGGCCACCACTGCCACTCAGTAATGTACTAGATGCTAGAACACAGGTGGATTTCCTGCTGCCTACATCCTAGCAAAAAAAAAGTATAATCTTGCCACCAAATAGGCAGTCAACTCCCCATCAGGTCCCTTCTGATGGCTCGGCCAATCAAATTCTGCACATACAGAATTGGCTTATCCCTTTGGCAGCTGGGAACAGACCCGATGGGGAACAGCAACACTGTAAAACTATTCTGATTCTGCCCCTAACATATCCCATTAGATCTGTTCAGATGGCTAGTGGGAAGAGCGATTTTTGCCTTTGTAGGATTTGATTGGTTTACTAGTTCATTAGTGAGGAACTGGTGGTGCAACCAATGCCTTACAGATGCAGACTGGGAAGGCTATGTTACCAATGCCTCAGATGAAGTGCATACTGTTGCATGTTCACATAATTAAATGGAGATGGATTCATCTGTCCTTGGTGAAAATGGCCATTATGAGAAGAATGTGGAGGAAAAAACAAATAAGGGGGAACAACAAGTTGCATTTTCTTTTGCTATGCAAGGACTCATGACTTTGTTGTGCATCTGATGTGAGAAAAGAATGAGCACCCAAAAGTTGAAAGTGGAGGAAGGGGGGTTCAGTAATTGCCACTGGTGCAGGCCTATCTGTCTTGAGTCTGAAAGAAGTTCCAACTTAACCCATCTCCTGACATGCTGCTTAAAACCAAAAAGGGATGTTATTTTTGGGGAAGCGGGGGGAAGAGGTAACTCTTTCCACTGTAAACTCAAGCAGAGCTCTCTTGCTGGAGCTTGCCTTCGGTTTGTATGTACCTAGTGCCCATTTCTCCTGTAGTGAACCGTATAATGAAGGCTGCTTAATTATCAAGCTATCCCTCAATGGTCAATTTACAACACACACACACACACACACACACACACACACACTACCCCTGATCAATCACTGTTTTTGATAGAAATTATATTTCTACATTACATGGCAGATAATTTACTAGCAGGTGTAGTAGAGTAATAGAAATCCAACAGTCATGACATGCATGCTGCTGATTCTGTGTAATTGAAAGGGGCATGTTCAAAATAATTGCAGTGTGGAGTTCTATTAGTGAGGTCATTCTTTAAATAACAGGTGGCAATTATTGCCCTTATTTAAGGAAGGAAGGCAGCAAATGTACATGCTGGTTACAGTGCATTTCTCTGAAATTCTGACGAAAATGGGTCGTTCCAGACATTGTTCAGAAGAACAGCGTACCTTGATTAAAAAGTTGATTGGAGAGGAGAAAACATATAAAGAAGTGCAGAAAATGATAGGCTACTCAGCTAAAATGATCGCAAATGCTTTAAAATGGCAACCAAAACCTGAAAGACATGCAAGAAAGCAAAAAACTACCATTCGAATGGATAGAAGAATAGCCAAAATGGCAAGGACTCAGCCAACAATCAGCTCCAGGAAGATCAAAGAAGGTGTAAAGTTCCCCGTGAGGACTGTTACAATTAGAAGTCGCCTATGTGAAGCCAAGCTATCTGCAAGAAGCCCCCGCAAAGTCCCACTGTTGAAAAAAAGACGTGCTGAAGAGGTTACAATTTGCCAAAGAGCACATTGACTGGCCTAAAGAGAAATGGCGCAACATTTTGTGGACTGATGAAAGTAAGATTGTTCTTTTTGGGTCTAGTGGCCGGAGACAGTTTGTCAGACGACCCCCAAACACTGAATTCAAGCCACAGTACACTGTGAAGACAGTGAAGCATGGTTGTGCAAGCATCATGATATGGGGATGTTTCTCATACTACGATGTTGGGCCTATTTATCACATACCAGGGATCATGGATCAGTTCGAATACATCAGAATACTTGAAGAGGTCATGCTGCCTTATGCTGAAGAGGAAATGCCCTTAAAATGGGTGTTCCAACAAGACAACGACCCCAAACACACCAGTAAACGTCCAACATCTTGGTTCCAGACCAACAAGATTGACATTATGGAGTGGCCAGCCCAATCCCCGGATCTTAATCCAATAGAAAACTTGTGGGGTGACATCAAAAAATGCAGTTTCTGAGGCAAAACCAAGAAATAGAGAACTGTGGAATGTAGTCCAATCATCCTGGGCTGGAATACCTGTTCACAGGTGCCAGAAGTTGGCTGACTCCATGCAACACAGATGTACAGCAGTTCTCAGAAACCGTGTTTATACAACTAAATATTAATTAAGTGATTCAAAGGAAAGCAAAATCTTCACATATTTTTCAGTTTATATAGTGAATGTTTGAGTTTGTAAAGAAGAATACAAACACTGCTATTTTTTTGAACAGTCTAATATTCACACTGCTATTATTTTGAACACAACTGTGTGTGTGTATGTATGTGTGTATATGTATGTATGTATATATATATATATATATATATGTATGTATATTATATTTATGGCTTCAGATATACTTAGATAAACTAATGGGATTGCTTAGCTAATCAACTGGTGTCCGTGCTGGATCATGTCCATTGCATGCATATTGACGTTTATCCATGCAATCCAAAGACTACCCAAAATGTGCCAATTGTATTTATTTTCAGAAAGTGTTCACAATCTTTCAGTAAAACATTTATCACCATTTAATATGGTGGCAGGTTGTCTGATAAGCTACTACAGTGGATGGCTAAATGTAGAAATATTTAGTTGCTTTCATCTGAGGTATATGTTATGGATTTTAATTTATCCACTACCTAGATTTTCCTCTACCTTTTGACAAAGGAAAATTATTGTAACATCTTTCAAATTTACTTTTTTTTTTTTTTTTTTCTTTTTAAAGGAAATTTTAAAAAAAGCAAGCAAATTCTTCAGAGAGGAAAAGACTGTGGAGCTGTTCCAGCTGAAATGATTGAGTTGGCCATGAAGAACCTGCAATTAAGGAAACCTCAGCTGATATCAGAGGAAGATAAAGAAAATTTATCTGGTTAGTATATTTTTCATTGAAACCATTGCTGACTAGGCAGCTGAAATTCTAGCCATCTATGAGCAGGTTGGTTGTGCTGAAGTCGATTAATCGACCTCAGTACAATCAGCCTGTTGGGTTTTTTTCGTGTGGTTACTGCTGCTGTCTATAGCAGACACAGTAATATTTGTATTCTGGCAGCGGGGAAACCTCCCGTTGTCATAAAACAATAATGCAGCAGGAGGGATTCCCCCATCAACACTGACTGCCATTTTCTTTCCTTCAACCCAGGGTTGCAGGAAAAAAAATTGCATAATGTATAGCCCGCCTTGGCCTTTACTAGTCACTGTGATTTTCAAGTTGTGGTCACTTTTGCAGTGTCTCTGAACCAACATATTGGAGAAAATGACCCAAGCTGTGCCTTAGGGAAACCAAGGATAACAAGGAGTGAAAGCTCAGGCGAGCTCTCTGTCAACATGAGATTTTTATTTGGGTAAGCTATAAATTCTTTTTTTTTTTTTTTCTTTTTTATATCTATGTATTTCTACATGACCTCATGTATTGCTTCATTTTCAAAGGGAAAAGATTAGTTCGCCTAAAGATTGTGATGAGATGCAACGAAAACCTTTAGCGAATGTGCCTAATAAGGTAATATGTCATATGTTGCATCCCCATAAGGTACCTCTGCCAAGTACCTATTTAATGTATTAATTAAGATTTGTTTTTGTTTGTAACCTACTAGACATGTCAGTTTGGCAGGGTACGTGTACAGCCTGTAACTTCACCAGGTGCTGGAACAGCTAATCACAGTGTATTCTCCACTTCAAGTGTTGAAAGGTAAGAATTTGTTTATTGACATGCAAACTTAGTTTAAAATGGAAGCTCAGGCAAAACCAAAGGCTAAAACTACTCGCACCCCCATTCTAAGGCTATTCCATCTACCCTGTAAAAGAAGATCTCTATACTTATACCTATTCTGAAGTCAGTCCGTTCTCCAGCAGCGGCTTCTGTGTACAGGAAATGCCTAGGAGATGACGGCACCCATAGACTTACTACGGGGCATTAGTTGTCGGCTGCCACTGACAGCTGATCCGGGGACTAGACCGGAGCATCTTCAGTCAGAATAGGTAAGTATACAGATCTTCTCTTCACAGGGTTAGATAGAATGGATTTGGGGGGGAAAGATTTAACCTTAGTTAAGTTTTGCCTGAACTTCTACTTAACTTATCCTTAAATAAGTGTATTCAACTCTGCAAGTGTACATTATTGGAGAATGACTTGTGTCAGACTCAGGACTAGCCCAAATGCAATGTATTTGCATGTTGCTTTTGCTTGCATTTAAAGCAATATTAAATCCAAAGCCAAAAATTTTATATATTGCAGCTTACCAATCCTTATATGTGGCTGCATTAGTTTGGTTTTTTTTTTTTTGTGTGTTTTTTCTGGATGTTTTTTAAGGCTTGTTTCCCTCTTTGCACTTGGTGATCCGGCCAGTAACACACCACTTGCATTAGAGTGCTCCCACTCTGGGTGAAGGGGCACAGGGGACCTTTCTAGACAGCAACATTTTCAGTTTGGATGGAGGAAAGTGTTTAAATGTACAAGCAGATATAGTACACTGAGGACAAACTTCAGCTCAAGTTGCAGTTACACAGATCGTTAAAGCACCATTTAATTTTTTTGGTCTTTTTGGGATAAAGGATTTAAATGGATAAATAAATGCTGAGCATTGTAAGCACTCCTCTCAGTGGTAAATGGTTTGTTTCAACACTGTAACTGCTGCATTTGCAGGAGATCTTGCTGGTCAGAAGATCGCCAGATCAAAATAAAAAAAGCTAATGGAGCCATCAACATCTAAGAGCAAGCTGCAATATAATAAATGTTTGTGTTCAATACCTCTTTAAGCTGCTTAAAGTGACCCCATTGCCCATCTTTTTTTGTAAACAATAATTCTTAGTAAATCCAAAGTAGGACATGGCAAAAAATTTCAGCAGACAACATATGTATACAAAAAAAGGCAGTACAATGTCACAGAATTTCTGATCCATATAGTGTTTTTTTTCCACGTGCTATATCTTCATTGGACCTTTTGGCTCCAAAACCGTGCAAAATAAACAAAAATATACCATAGTGTAACACAATTTTTTTTTTTTTTTTTTTATAAATTTACGGATTATACACACGCAGATATGCACTCACATTAAAGAAAAAAATGTGCTCCAAAGTGTAATAATCAAATGATTGCATTTCTGTACTGTGCCGACTAAATCATGGTGTTTCCCATCACCGTATAGGTGCACCATATACTCACCTTCTTCCTTGACCTATCAAATAGGTCATACACCAGCGGAGCCTGGGTGACGTCATTTCCAGCACGAGCGATGTGAGATTTCCGGCTATTGAGGCCAGGAAAGAATGTAATGCAGTGCGATTTGCACTGCATTACATTCAGGGGAGACATGCAAGGTCTTTTAGACCCTGCATGTCTCATTAAAGATTACCTGCCGCCAAAAAAATCATCACATAGGGGACTTTTTGTCGCCTATGTAATGGAAAAAAAAAGTTTAAGTAGAAACATTTTTTTTTTAATAGTAAAAAAATCAAAGTTGCACATAACATCCCCTCAAAAAAAATTTGCAGCCCCTCCACACCCACATATACGCACATAGAAAAGAAAAAGCACACATGAACGCCTACGCATGAAAACGTTGATTGCGATACACGTTACATAGCGTTGCGCACACCAGAATGAGAGCAATAATTCTAGCACCAGACCTCCATCCATAACGCTGAACTGATGACCTATAATGGTCTTTAAAAGGCCCGCCAATAAAAAAAAATATAGGGTACTGAAGTTAGTTGCCATTTCACGAGCACACAAAAATTTAAGGTTTGACATGATGGATATCTATTTACTCAGTGGAACCTCATCTTTTATATTTTACAAAACAATAGGCTAATTTATTACCTTTGCGGTAATATCATGCGAAACATAAAAAATTTTAACTACCGCTATTTATTCTCTAGGGTCTCTGATTTCAGAAAATACGTATATAGTGTTTGGAGGTTTTGTGTAATTTTCAGGCCTAAAATGATTTTTTAAACATGTGCAAAAAATGCAAAAATGGCTCTGGCAGCAAAAGGGATAAAGGATAAGCCCTGACCCACCCTTTCCTGACAAGCACCCAATCTGTGCTCATTACACTGTGAGGTCTCTCTCCTCCCTGCTAGTTCCCGGGTGCGGTGCTGGAGGCAGGGAGGGGAGGAGGAGATAAAACAGCAGAATGTTAAAAAAAAAATTAGACGTTTAGGTCACCATAAAGCCCCTTTTGATTTTAAAAGTCCCAGACGTTCCTAACAGATTTAAATACGGTTTGGGTTAAAATTGATTGATTGTTTTTTTTATTAGAACAAGTATATTGTCATGAGGAACAAGTAGATTGGGACACTGATTTAGTCCCTGGACAAGTAGTTTTTTCAAAAATGTCCACACCCCTGGACCTTTAATGCAGAGTTACATTTCTTATCGGAATAATGTGCTAATTTTTTCTTTTCCTTTAAGGCAACCCCTTAGTTCTATGCATGTGCCTGTTCTGCCGCCTATGCCAAAATCCAGTGGATGTGTGAATGATATAGATGAGGACCTACAGTCTTCCGGAAACAAGGTTAGAAGCTATGCATTACTGCATGTGACATTGTCAGTTTTTGCTAGCTTTGTCATGTTGTGATATCCAATAAATTAGGGTTATATTCCTGTATTGATTTCTTGAAATGTGACCCTTTTACCAGTTTATTAACCATTCTGTTTTTTGTTTTTGGGTTTTTTGGGGGTCTTTTTCAAATTAGTCTGCTTTCACACTTTTTTTTTTTCTATTTTTGGAAGCGAAAGAAAAACACATGACCATTCAGTTCTGTGGAACTCTTTACACTGGTCAGTTGTGCATCAGTGTAGTTTTCAAAGTCCTGCTTGCTGCATTCTTGGCACGTCTGGTGCGGTTCAAATAAATCGTACCAAAAACACACCTCTCCATTGAAATAAATGGTAGCATTAAAAATGTGCCCTCAGTTGCGTTTTTTTGGTGCATTTTTTGAGTCACATGTTTTTTTTCACAGGTGCAAAATGCATTGGAAGCATGGTAAAAACCCGTATGCATTTTTACTGCATTTTTCCCAGGGAGCAGTGAGAAAGTAGCCATAATTTAAATTTCCGGAATGTAATATTTTGTCACTGGAGTTTTTTCCTCCTACATGCTATGTGAGGAATCAAAAACTACATTTTATCAGACCTGTGACATTTATGATTAAATTTTTCTAAAAATTCCTCATGCAGTGGTTTACACAGGAACATGTTTGCATACTGTGTTTTTTTGCATTTTTGTAGGTGTCTTGACAAATAGGAAACTTTTTTTTTTTGTTTATAGTGTATGTAAACCCTCACCTTTTATAAAACAACCCATTACAAATTAAAGGCAAAACATATAAAAAAAAAACGCTATAAGTACCTTTTTTCCCCTATTGTTATAAGTGATTAAATCATTCGGCTGCATAAGAACTAGGAGGGGGGAAGCAGCAGTACACTGAACTTCCCACTGATAGGCTGTGCAGGGGGGGCACGTGTCAGCACAAGTGTCATCATTGGAGGAGAGCAGGCTGAGTTCCAACATAGCTAGAAAACTGACAACTATGTGATGTCATGCTTAGTGTGGTAAATTTTTAATAGGAACGCAGAGGGACTGGCAGGAACACTGGAAGCAGTACAAAAATAACAGGATACAAGTACATGGTATATCAAGCACATATCCGGAATATGAAAGGCTGAGTTGCATAGTCTTTAAATAGACTTAAAGCAGTAGTTCAGTCCAATTCCCAGGTGGCTCGCCACTCCCCTTGGATGCCACCATTGTGGCGTATGCACAGATGTGCCTATGGGCTCTGCCCAGCCTTCAGGCCCTGGCAGAGCCTTTTGGCACATCTGCGTAGGTGATTTTCTGTGCATATGCAAACACAGGAAAAGTTTTAGTCTTCCGTGCTATAGCAGTCTATGTGCTGGTTTTCCCATGCATGTGAGCAGATGGCTGGCGAAACCTGCGTTTGTGCAGATGTGACACAGGGCTCTAGGGATCCGGGCCCTGCAACACATCTGCACATGCACAGGGGGTAGGGAGAACTTCTTCTTTTCTAGGCGAAAAATGTGAAGTGATGATTTTAGTTTGCATGTTCTCCCTGTGTCTGCGTGGGTTTCCTTCGGGTACTCCGGTTTCCTCCAAAGACCTGCTGGTAGGTTAATTGGATGCTGTCTAAATTGGCCCTAATATGTGTATGTATGAATATAAGTTAGGGACCTTAGATTGTATGCCCCTTGAGGGCAGGGACTGATATGAATGTACAATATATGTAAAGCACTGCGTAAATTGACAGCGCTATATAAGTACCTATAATAAATACATTTTGAGCACAAATTGAAAAAAAAAAAAAAATAGCCATTTGTAAGAGGGCATAGTGGAGAAGGCAGGGCGGCACAACATGACCTTTATGATGAAGGTCCACTTGAAAGTAACCATGTCAGAGAAAAAGTTGTCAAATGTATCCCTGCAAAAAGAGAATACGTGCCTCTTATTGTCCTAAGTGATCTCACTGATGAATAAGGCCCCCTTGGTGGAATGGAAGATGATGAATGGTAGGACTCGGCACCCTTTGTCACAGGGCTTCTGAAGCTAAATTGATGATGGTTGATATTGCACTAAAATATTTCTGAAAAGATAATTCGCTTTGCAGTGATGCTCCCTTTTGATATTCTAATTTAATGGATCTAAAGCTGTTATAGTTGGTGTGGGCACAGATTCTTCTGTGGAAACTGACTTCTGAAAGCAGTTGTATTGAAATAAATGTTTTCTCCTAGTTAATCTACGTTGCAAGCTCGGCAAATCAGCAGCAGTTCAATGAAGACAGTGTAGAGATGAAGACTGCTTCATCGGTAATAATTAGGACAGACAGCAGCATCACTGTCAGGAGAGATGAAGGTAAGGGTATGATAGTCACATCTTGCATACATGAGCACTAAACCTCGTCTGTTATAGTTTATATATCCCTTTTTGTTGTAAGGTGCACATACAGTATGTAGCTACATGTTGACCGCAATACGTATATATACAGTTTACTGGGGTTATGTCTGAAGATAAGAGCTGTAACCCCGGTATCTTTTTTTTTTTTTTTTTTTCAGCCAGCAGTTGGCTTTCTCATGAAAATGGTCTGAGCAGCTCATTCGCACTGTTGCAACAGGCTCACTAACAAAAACATTCCGACAGTGTGGCCGGCTGGTCACATAGGCAATGAAAGACTTGATCATCTCCGGTCACCTCTGTGGCCTTGGAGGACTGGAGCGACAGCATGATGTCACTTCCGGTCTGGGCAGATTTTTTTGTTTTGTTTTTAGGGGAAAAAAAAAAAAAAATAAAAATAAAATATATATATATATATATATATATATATATATATATATAATGTTTTTTTCATTTTTTTTTTTTTTATTCTTTGCTTTTAAAGGCAACAAAGAGATTTGGGGTCCTTTTTGACCCGGATCTCTCCTTAAAGAGAAACTGTCATCCTTATTTATATTACAAGGGATGTTTACATTCCTTGTAATAGGAATAAAAGTGATAAAAAAAATGTAAAATTAAGACATGTAAAAATAAAAAGGTAAAGTACCCCCATCCCTCCATGCTTGCGTGCAGAAGTGAACACATGCGTAAGTCGCACAAGTATATGTAAACTGTGTTCACAGCACACATGTGGGGTATCGCGAGAGCAATAAGTCTAGTGCTTGGCCTCTCTTCTGTACTTCTAAACAGGTAACCTGTAAAAGGTTTAAAAAGCATCTTCTATGGAGATTTTTAAGTACCATAGTTTGTTGCCATTCCACCAGCATGCGCAATTTAAAGTGTGACATGTTTGGTATCCATTTACTCCACATAACATATTTCATATTTTACAAAAAAAAAACCCACCAAGGTATATTTTGTGTGTGGGTTTTTTTTTTTTTTTTTATATTAAAGTTTTTTTTTTTCCCAAAAATTTTTTGAAAAAAATGCTGTGCAAATACCATGACATGACGTAAAAATTGCAAAGATAGCCATTTCATTCTCTAGGGCATTTGCTAAAAAAAAAAATATAATATTTGGTGGTTAGAAGTAATTTTCTTGCAAAAAATACTGATTTAAACTTGTAAACCGTGCCAGAAAATGCTTGGTTTTCAAGTGGGTAGTCCTAGTACTTTAAGAAAGGGAGAACAATTCCTGCTCAGTTAAATGACCATGATGTAGTCATCGTATTGCATTCCCCTTTTTATGCATTTCTTATCTATTTACTTTGCTCAATCCATGCAGTTCAGTCAATTCAGTTTGGTCACTGAATATACCAATACATCTGAGCTGACAGTGTTTCTATAAGACAAAGCAAACCTGTCTCCGTATATGTCGAGAGACTGTTTGATTTCAGTAATTTTTAAGTCCTTGACATGCTATTTGGTAGGCAGATCAAGAGTCTGTGGTCTTGTGCATTTTTTTTTTTTCAGGTCAGTGAATGGAAAATATTAACAGGAGATTAGCACTTAATTTCCTTTAACCACTTGCAATCTAGGACAATTTAATTTTTCACAAGGTTAAAATCAGCATTTTTTTGTTAGAAAATTACTCGGAACCTTTAAACATATATTTTCTAAAAGCGGTGGCCCTGTAGAATAAAATAATGGCAGTCGCAAATTTTTTTTATGTCTCACAATATTTGCGCAGCCGTTTAATTAAATTTTCATGAGAAATTACACTAATGTGCCATTTACGGCACACAAACACAATAAATACCTATTTTTTTTGTTCAATATAAAAGGAAGATGTTGTGTCGAGTAAATAGATACCAAACCTGTCAAGACTCCAAACTGTGTGCAGCCAAGAAATTGTGTTAAATTATGGTACCTAAACTTTTTTAGAGGTGACATGTTAAAGCGTTTACAGCAGGGGTGGGCCTCTGCCTTTGGGAGTCATGCTTGTAACTGTCAGTTTTGCAATGCCTCATGGGACTTGTAGTTCTACAACAGCTGGAGAGCCACAGTTTCCCACCCCTGCTTTACAGGTTCAGTGTAGAGGTAATTGTGAATAATGACCCCAAACTTATTCTCACTCTGACGTTTGTGGCGATGCCTCTTGAGTGGTGCAGGTGCTGTTTCTGTATGCATGCATTTGCACGTATGCGTAGGGACTGTGGGGGGGGGGTCCTTTTTTTTTTAATATTTATAATTACCAAGTAGTACCTTGTGATAGCAATAAAAGTTAAAATGAAAAACTAAAAATAAAGTGTATAAAGAAATAATAAATAAATATAAATAAATATATATATATATATATATATATATATATATATATATATATATACATATACAGTCAGGTCCATAAATATTGGGACATCGACACAATTCTAACAGTTTTGGCTCTATACACCATCACAATGGATTTGAAATGAAACGAACAAGTTGTGCTTTAACTGCAGACTGTCCGCTTTAATTTGAGGGTATTTACATCCAAATCAGGTGAACGGTGCAGGAATTACAACAGTTTGCATATGTGCCTCCCACTTGTTAAGAGACCAAAAGTAATGGGACAGAATAATAATCATAAATCAAACTTTCTCTTTTTAATACTTTGCAGTCAATTACAATCCTTTGCAGTCAATTACAGCCTGAAGTCTGGAACGCATAGACATCACCAGACGCTGGGTTTCATCCCTGGTGATGCTCTGCCAGGCCTCTACTGCAACCGTCTTCAGTTCCTGCTTGTTCTTGGGGCATTTTTCCTTCAGTTTTGTCTTCAGCAAGTGAAATGCATGCTCAATCGGATTCAGGTCAGGTGATTGACTTGGCCATTGCATAACATTCCACTTTTTTCCCTTAAAAAACTGTTTGGTTGCTTTTGCAGTATGCTTTGGGTCATTGTCCATCTGTACTGTGAAGCGGCGTCCAATGAGTTCTGAAGCATTTGGCTGAATATGAGCAGATAATATTGCCCGAAACACTTCAGAATTCATCCTGCTGCTTTTGTCAGCAGTCAGATCATCAATGAATACAAGAGAACCAGTTCCATTGGCAGCCATACATGGCCACGCCATGACACTACCACCACCATGCTTCACTGATGAGGTGGTATGCTTAGGATCATGAGCAGTTCCTTTCCTTCTCCATACTCTTCTCTTCCTATCACTCTGGTACAAGTTGATCTTGGTCTCATCTGTCCATAGGATGTTGTTCCAGAACTGTGAAGGCTTTTTTAGATGTCGTTTGGCAAACTCTAATCTGGCCTTCCTGTTTTTGAGGCTCACCAATGGTTTACATCTTGTGGCGAACCCTCTGTATTCACTCTGGTGAAGTCTTCTCTTGATTGTTGACTTTGACGCACATACACCTACCTCCTGGAGAGTGTTCTTCATCTGGCCAACTGTTGTGAAGGGTGTTTTCTTCACCAGGGAAAGAATTCTTCACTCATCCACCACAGTTGTTTTCTGTGGTCTTCCGGGTCTTTTGGTGTTGCTGAGCTCACCGGTGCATTCCTTTTTTTTAAGAATGTTCCAAACAGTTGTTTTGGCCACGCCTAATGTTTTTGCTATCTCTCTGATGGGTTTGTTTTGTTTTTTCAGCGTAATGATGGCTTGCTTCACTGATAGTGACAGCTCTTTGGATCTCATCTTGAGAGTTGACAGCAACAGATTCCAAATGAAAATAGCACACTTGAAATGGACTCTGGACCTTTTATCTGCTCATTGTAATTAAGATAATGAGGGAATAACACACACCTGGCCATGGAACAGCTGAGAAGCCAATTGTCCCATTACTTTTTGTCCCTTAACAAGTGGGAGGCACATATGCAAACTGTTGTAATTCCTACACTGTTCACCTGATTTGGATGTAAATACCCTCAAATTAAAGCTGACAGTCTGCAGTTAAAGCACATCTTGTTAGTTTCATTTCAAATCCATTGTGGTGGTATATAGAGCCAAAACTGTTAGAATTGTGTCGATGTCCCAATATTTATGGACCTGACTGTATATCTCTCCTGTTTCCCCTAAAATAAGACCTAGTGCTATTTTTGGGAATTGCTAAAGTATAAGACATACATAGTTGTGATCAGGGCTTTTTTTCAGCTGGAACGTGGCTGAACGCCATTCCGCCACATCCGGCACATACCCATATCTACTGTCTCTTATAAACACAGAAGCGCAGCGCAAGTGAACAGCACCATCCGCTCCCTACCTCTGTACTCACTGTGGGACAGGGAGGGAACAGACATCTGTGGGTGCAGTGTGTTTAGGGGTGGGGCATCTCGTCCTGCAGCTTGTGCGTGGAAGCCGATGCCCCAGGGGTGATCACCAGCCAGTGGGGGAGAGGCGGAGCGGTGAGTAAGTGCGCTTGGTGCACTGTGTAGGAAGATAGGACCCGAAACGGGAGTTACTATAGAGAGGGGCTGGCTGCTGACAGCTGTGTTTGCTAAAGCTAGCTAACCATATGAGGGCAGGGGAGGGGGGATGTGCAAAGGTGAGCTGCAGTCAGGTGTTGCAGAGGTAAATTGAGTTAGGTGAGTTGCAGACAGGGTGCATAGGTGAGCTGCGGCTGGGGGGGTTCTTATATCTTATAAGAACAGATTATCACATTCATATAACCATGAGCTCCAGAGAAGAAGAAAAAAAGGGGGGGTTTAAAAAAGCCTGATAATATAGACGATATCTGTATTCCATGCTGTATTGATGCTATGTACGTCTAAGCCAGCCTCATGTTGTGGTGACCCCCAACCATAAAATTATTTACCCAGTAATTATAATTCATGAGTGTCGTTTTACCTCCAATACTGCTGCTTTCAACACAGTAGCTGCTTTTAACAGAGTAGCTGCTTTCAACACAGCAGCTGCTTTCTACACAGTAGCTGCTCTTTACACATCAGAAATATGTGTTTTCTGATGGTCTTAGGGGACCCCTGTGAAAGGGTTGTTCGACCCCCAAAGGGGTCGCGACCCACAGGTTGAGAACCACTGCTCTAAGCCTTCATTGAGGTTGGGTACCATAGAACTAAATTTGTAAATCCAAAAGGTTTCCCTTCTACATAGGAGGGCTAGCCTCTTGTTATCGGTGAGAGTGCCCTTAGGAATATGTTCTATGGTCATCACTTCTAGGACGCTAAAATTCTTGTTATGATGAGCCTTCTATGTTCACCAATACGTTTGCGTAGAGGATGTATTGTGCGGCCCACATATAGAAATTTACATGGACATGTTAATACATAGACTACATGGTCATGTTCTGGGCGCTGGCATCTTAAGTGTGGGCATGCAGCTGTGACAGCTTGCCGCTTCACAACCAGGTGCCCACTGCACATATGCAAGTAGCTTTCTGAATGGTCCTGTAGTCTAATGGGACCTATTACGGGTCTCAGAAGACTACGGGGAGGGTGGAGAACTTCCGCTTCCAATCGCCTAGGAGATCGCAGCGGAAGTGGGAGCGGCTACATGTCAATTTTGTGGAGCCACTACCAACCCACGCCCCCTTTCCTGAAGGTGCCAATCCTTAATGGGAGCGGGGGACCAGTCTTTAAAGCGGAGCTCCACCCAAAAGGGGAAGTTCTGCTTTAAAGTGGTTGTAAAGGCTCAAGGTTTTTTACCTTCATGCATTCTATGCATGAAGGTAAAAAACCTGTGTGCAGCTCCCACCTAATAACTTACCTGAGCCCCACTGCAATTCAGTGATGTGCACAAGAGCCTTGGCTCTACAGGAACTCTCCCCTCTTCATTGGCTGAGACAGCAGCAGGAGCCTGTGTGTCAATCAATTCAATTTGTGTGAATAGACACACAGAGCAGCAGCTCAGGAGCAAGCCTGCTTCGGTGCCCCCATAGCAAGCTCCTTGCTTTGGGGAACTTGGCAGGAGGGAGGGGCAAGGAGTGCTGGCAGGGGCCCTGGGAAGAGGAAGACCGTGGCTATACTGTGCAAAACCACTGCACAAAGCAGGCAAGTATGATGTTTGTTTTTTTTTTTTTTTTTTATTGCATTTAATATCCCTTTAATGCATGAACATCAAAATTCATAACTTTTTTTTAAATGTATAGATGTAGATATGGATGAGACAGATTCTACTACAGCACCATACAACCCACAGTTTAATAAACAAGAACCATTGCCCCAAAGTGACAACAAAATGGACGGAAAGCAGCTTGATCCTCCAAAACCCAGCAATTCTGAAATGGAATGGAAGTGGAAAATTCCTGAGAAGATACCAAGTGATATTTTTTCAAGGAGATGTGAGTAGTACTGTACAGGAATAATTTCAGTCAGGTACATATTAAATGTCTTTGTCTATATTCTCCTTGCATACCCTGCCTACTTACACTGGGCTTATGTATGCAGATAATCTGAAAAACCTGGATAGTAAAAAGGTTCATAAATGTACAGACTGTTCATAATTCAGTTGAAGTCATACAACACATTCAGTGTGCAAGGCACAGACAGTTGCTTTGAAACAGAAATATCCATTTAGTCAGACAATTTGGTCCCTTATGTGTGAACATTTCTGTACCTAATTGCCTAAGCACAGCCCATGCTACATCTGTTAAGGAATGGTGGAGGGGGTTACTGTGTTTAAAAAAAAAAAAAAAATGTGGCCATCGTGGAGGTGGGAAAACAGGAAACCGATTGTTGCATGGTATGGAAGCGTTTAGAACAGCAGTGTCGGTGTCTATAATGTTGAAAAATTTAACATGAGTGGCTTTGATCGTTGTTTATGTAACATACAGGTCAGTATCAGGCTGCACTGTTCTACAGAGAGTTGCATGTGTTCCGCTGAATATTATATGTATGCATATAGAGCCATACAGTACTTAGAAGTGGAAGGGAACAGATGCATCCACCTAGGTATAATTTTTGTTCCTAAAACCCATACTTCTCTTTTAAGACTGAGAGCTGAGTGATCAAAAACCACTGATTGCTCAGTTTTCAGTGAGCAGAGAGTCGGGGACATAAAAACAACACAGATCTCTCCCTTGTCAGCTCCTGCACGCTGCTTTGTATGGCTCTGCATAGTAGAGCTATACAAAGCAGTGTGCTTACAGTGAAACACACACAGCACATTATGTGAAATAGCACACATTTAACCCTATGATCGCCCCAGATGTTAACCCCTTCCTGCCCAGTGCCTTTAGTACAGTCAGTGCTTTTTATTAGCACTGATTACTGTACTGGTGTCATTGGGGATGTCAGAATGCCCGCCGCAGTCCCATTATAAGTCACTGATCGCCGCCAGTGTCTGTATGTATGTATATATATATGTGTGTGTGTGTGTGTGTGTGTATATATATATATATATATATATGTGTATATATATATATATATATATATATATATCACCATTTCACGTAAATCAATTAATTTACACGTATTGGGATTTTTTTTTTTTTTTTTTAACCAAAGACGTGTAGCAGATTACCGGTACATTTTGTCCTAAATTTCTGACAAAATTTTATTAATTTTCTTTTTTTTACTGGACATGTTTATAGTAAAAAGTCAAAAATATTGTTTTTTTTTTTTCCCCCAAAATAGTTTTTTTTTGTTTTATAGTGCAAAAAATAAAAACTGCACAGGCAATCAAATACCACCGAAAGAAAGCTCTATTTGTGGGGAGAAAAAAGTACATAAATTTAATGTGTGCAGCGTTGCATGACTGCGCAATTGTCAGTTAAAGTAACGCAGCGCAATATTGTAAAAATGTCCTGGTCAGGAAAGGGGGGTAAATCCTCAGGAGGGCAAGTGTTTAAGTTGCCTGGAGTTGGGCTTTAAGTCCAGCAATGTGCATGGCACCTTGTGGACTTCTCTCTTTATATATACAATTGCCAGTTTTACAATCATTGTTTTTCAATCTTTTGCTTTAGGGTAAACGAATGAGTATGGATCCCAGTGTTTTTCCAGTTGCCAGAAGGGTAACCCCACCAATGTCCGTATCTAAATGTGAACCTGTTATAACCTGCAGGACACCTGCCAAACCACAGGAGGATTATATGAATTGGTAATTTCCAATAAAGAGAATGTAATATCATTTATGTATATAACTTGTTAACTTGGAGGTTACAGTATTTACATTTTACCAAAATTAGTAATAATGTGCTGTGTATTTGGGTGTACATAATTGTCAGGTTTTCAGTTTATAGATTTGTTTTGCTAATGGTTGAACTAATGGGAATGCTTCATATTACTTTGGGACATCTGTTTCAGTTCCCACAGAGGACAATATTAGAATGGGGTTTTTTCCCTAAGTTTATCTGGGTTTCCTCATTTTGCTCTGGTTTTCTACCACAACCTAAATCAGCAATGGGCAAACTACGGCCCGCGGGCCGTATACGGCCCGGCGGACCTTTTAATCCGGCCCGCGGAGCTAGGCTCCCGCAAGGCCAGTGGTCGGCAAGCCGCGGCTCTTTACAATAGATGCGGCTCTCCTGTGTGCCGGGCGCCCCGCTCCCCTCCCTCCTCTCGGGCGGGCGGGCGACCTCCTCTCCTCCTCTCCCCTCCCCTCCTCTCGGATGGCCGCCCCCCCTCTAGGATGGCCGCCCCCTCCCTCCTCTCGGGCGTCAGGACTCTGCAGCTGTCAGGATGTAGGCGGGGCAGCCAGGATGTAGGCGGGGCAGCGTGACGAACTCTTCTCTCACAGTCCTCCCTGAAGACCAGAACGGCGCGGGAATACGAGAGGAACGCGCGGAGGAGCAAAGGTAAGTGAATTGACACAGGGGGGGCTTACTATATGGGGAATGAATTACTATATGGAGGACTTACTATATGGGGGATGAATTACTATATGGGGGACTTACTATATGGGGAATGAATTACTATATGGGGGACTTACTATATGGGGGATGAATTACTATATGGGGGACTTACTATATGGGGAATGAATTACTATATGGGGGACTTACTATATGGGGAATGAATTACTATATGGGGGACTTACTATATGGGGAATGAATTACTATATGGGGGACTTACTATATGGGGAATGAATTACTATATGGGGGACTTACTATATGGGGAATGAATTACTATATGGGGGACTTACTATATGGGGAATGAATTACTATATGGGGGACTTACTATATGGGGGACTTACTATATGGGGGATGAATTACTATATGGGGGATGAATTAATATGGGGGATGAATTAATATGGGGGATGAATTAATATGGGGGATGAATTAATATGGGGGATGAATTACTATGTGGGGGATGAATTACTATGTGGGGGATGAATTACTATGGGGGATGAATTACTATATGGGGGATGAATTACTATGTGGGGGATGAATTACTATGGGGGATGAATTACTATATGGGGGATGAATTACTATATGGGGGATGAATTACTATATGGGGGATGAATTGCTATAAGGGGGATGAATTGCTATATGGGGGACGAATTACTATATGGGGGATGAATTACTATATGGGGGATGAATTTACTATGGGAGATGAATTACTATATGGGGGATTAATTACTATGCTTACTATGGGGGAATATTACTATACTTACTATGGATGACACATACACATCATTCATCTACTCTTGGTCCGGCCCCCGGGTCCAATATATGAACCCATTGCGGCCCTCAAGTCAAAAAGTTTGCCCACCCCTGACCTAAATCATACTTTGTAGTTTAACTAGGTTCTGTCCAAATAGCCCATAGTGTATATCTACCTGACTGCTATAAGGACACTGGATTGAGGAGCTCATTTGCAATGGAGAGTGGGTATCACCATTCGCTGTATCATACTCCTGCAGTGTTATGCACACGATGACCCACATGTTATGGCCCATTCATAAAATACAGGATGATTCTCCTCTCCAAGCTGTTTTTTTTTTTTTTTTTTTTTTTTTTTTTGCCAGCCTTGGAATTCTGAAGCAAATTTTATTTTTTAAGATCACACCTCTTTTTTTTATTTTCAGGAGCATGGTCTTTTGGTGCTTATTAAATTGACAAAGTAAGTTGTGTGTTTTCAGTTTTAACATGATTCCTATGGTTTAGTTTCAGAACTCCTGTTGTGAAAGACCCGCTGAGACCAGTTTCAATGCTTTCTACTCCTTGTAACAACTTGCCTAATTATAAACTCCCACATACTCCAGCCAATTTTATTCTGCAGCCTTCAGCTTTCCCGGTAATGTATTTCTCTTCATTGTACACATACATCTCTGTAGTCCATGATCTAGTTTTGTTTGGGTTAATTGATAGATACATTGCTTCACTGCATGCAAGGTCTACTTTTTACCACTTGCTGCCACAACAAGTAATGCGGGTGGCAGCATTGCCAGCATGTAAACAAATTCCCAACTGCTATAGCAGATTGTGTTTAATACACACACACTCACACTCACACTTTATGCAATGCTTTACAAATTGTGCATAAGATTAGTTCCTGCCCTCTACAGTCTAAGGTCAATACTGGAGTACTCAAAGGGCCCCTTATGATAGCAGTAAAGTTTATAAAATTTACATGCACCTAAGAAAGCAGACATGCACGCTGGGTACCAACAACTACAGTTGAGTCACATATTAGTTAATCACTGCACACTCTGCAGCAATGATCAAAGGAACATTTTTCAACATTCCCAGTCGAGAGAAGCCGCTCATTAGCTCGCCTTCTCTCTAGCGGTAATGGCCATAGTTCCTGCTGAACCAGCAGAATTTCGATCCAAACAAATGGCAACCACCCTAACCTATAACTGGCCTTTACAGCAGGGAACACATGGAAGGACGACACATGTCAAAAAAACAACTAACAAAAATTCCCAGCTCACTTACCAGCCTGCAACAAACCGTATTGCCCTAACCGTTCACGTTAAAATGTGGGGTTTTAAAGTGAACTGTTATATGAGATAATTCGGTTTGTTGCAGGCTGGTTGGTAAGTGAGCTGGGAATTTTTGTTTTTTGACAGAATTTCAATCCATCTATGTCCAGCTTTAGCCTTCCATAATTGTACAGGCTCCTTTCCTGTAGTAAAAATTCCTTAGTCTGATTTCACTACACATGGTTTAAACTCTCAGTGTGCATTAGATTCTGCAACCACTCATTGAGCCCAACTCCTTTTTTTTTTTTTTTTTTTTTTTTTGGTTGGGAAAATCCAGCATCTTGCATCCTATTCCCAGCCTTAGCCTGGGTTCACTCTAAATATGACTTTGAAATTGTGCGACTTCACTTGAATTTGCACGATTTCAAAATCGGATCTCAGTGCGACTTGTAAGACATCTGTGTAACTTCATGCCCAGATGTCTATGCAAGCTGCACCTGAAATCGCCAAAGTAGTGCAGCAATTACTTTCCAAATCAGTGTGACTCTGGCGAAGTTGGAGTCACACCAATTAGAACGGTTCCATTGCCGATCATTGGGTGTGACTTGTCACGTGATTTGAACTGTCAAATCGCATGAAAAGTTGCATTGGTGTGAACGGGGCTTACTGTCTCTGGCCTGTCCCTGTCATTCATTGAGTTTTTTCATTTTCAGTGGAGGCTCAGCATTACATATCGGTATAACATAGGGCAGTCTGCATGCCTATGCAGCGTTTTTAGGAATGCCCATTCCTCCAGGACTGACATTAACCTATCAAGGCATTTTGATATTTGCATACCTCCTCAAAGGAGACAGCCTGCTGTTTGCATCAGGGCTGAGGGCTCTTGATAGGAGTATTGAGGCAGGTTTCTGTGTTGTTTTTAGAAAGTTCTATTCAGCAGCCTGCAGACCACCTCCACCCTTTTGCTATTCACCGCTGGAAATAACTTGTAGGTATGGGTCAGCCATGCATGCCCCCTCCTGCATTCCTGATTGCAGTACTTGGTGCAAACTCTCACCAGGTCTAAGCAATATCACATGGGAAGGGTGGTTCTCAGTCCTTCACATACGCAAACTGGCAATATTTGCATAGGATTTGGGGAGAGAGAACAACCGTGGCAATAAGGATAACTCCGCAGGCACGCTAATTATAACTAAGAAGGTTCATGTTATACAGCTACAAGCTTACTTTGCTGTTCATGTGTATGTGATAGGTGCACTTTATTGTTATCCCACAAATTCAGAAATAGGGAAGCTGCCAGGATTAAGATGGCTGCCCTGAGTCCTGCACCTTAAAAAAAAAAAAAAAAAAAAAAAAAAAAATGGTACTTGCCAAATTTGCCTTCACATATTAACTTTAAAGTGGTTGCAGACCCTCAAATATACCCAGTAAAGCGACTGGCCTCAGGTGATAAAAGCAGATGAAACAAAGCTTTTATAAGCTTGTCTGAGCTGTCAGAAAAAAGGGGGATGGAGAGGAGAGCCTGAAAGCTGATTGAAGGAAAGGGATCCACCCCCCTTCACATGGAAACAGAGCTGAGCATTATGTCAATCTGCTGAAGCTCCCGCTCTGTCACCTTTTTTCTCTTGGTGTCAGGATATCTTGTCAGAAGTAGCTCATGCTGATAGCAAAGGATTAGCAAACAGAAATTACACTTGGTGCTTTGGATAGAGACAAGTACACACTTTAGAGGGATATGCTTTGTTCATTTTTCATGTCTGAGTTTTACAACCACTTTAAGAAAACACTGTCACCTGCCCATTCAAGGCAAAATGATAGTGTGTCCTGATGCCAAGCAAGGTATACTCTCCAATCTGTGCTCCCTTGCAGCCTTCCCCCTGTGCAAATTATTTAATACGTTGGGTGTCCCTGTATGAGCAAATTTTTGTGACCTGTAGGAGAAGAGCTTTTTATGCAAAAATTGGGTATTTTGGGGACACCATGCAGTACAGGCATGAACATAGGAAATAGGTCTAATCATTTTGACCCATTCCGGCTTGTTGGAAAATATCTGAGACTAGTGAGTAATCATTTTGTTTTTTCAATATCAAAAGGAGATCTATTTTAGACTAATGGAGTTTCAAAAGTTCTGCAAAACTGCAATAATGGACAGATCTATGTGGTTATCAAGGAGAGGAGCCTTTGTTGCTGATAAACTAATTATTATCTTTTTCTTTTTTCAGATGACTCCGTCAATTGCATCTAATGACTGTATTGTAGTCAAAGGAAGAATTTATGTAGTTTTAAAACAAATCGGCACTGGTGGCTCTAGCAAGGTAACCTCTGATTTTTGGTTCTGCAAAATGTATAACATATCTATGTGAAATCGATTTTTGGGGGTCAAAAGTGTGGATGAAATAGTTATTTATAAGATATTGCTCAGAAGTTACACTGGGAGAGACCTCTGTATTAACCACTTGCCTACTGGGCACTTATACCCCCTTCCTTACCAGACCAATTTTCAGCTTTCAGCGCTGTCGCACTTTCAATGACAGTTGCGCAGTCATGCAACATTGTACTCATATGAAATTTATTTTTTTTTTCTCTCACAAATAGAGCTTTCTTTTGTTGGTATTTACTCGCTGCTGGGTGTTTTTATTTTTTGCGCTATAAACAAAAAAAAGAGCAAAAAATTTGGTAATTTTTCTCCTTCACTGATGGGTGGCACAGGTGGGCGGAACTGGTGGGTGGCACTGCTGGGTACCAATCAGGGCACTGATCATCAAAGCCCTGATGATTGGTGCCAATCCCTGCTTTGACAACTGCCTGACATGCACTGACAGCGTGAGGAAAGTGCAGCCGAAAACCGGCAATTACATTTCCCTGTGGTCAGCGTGTCATTGGATACGGCTGATCACTTGGAAAAAGGCCGTGGTTAAGGTAACGCAGCGCCGCATCACAAAAAATTGCCTGGTCAGGAAGGGGGATAAATTCTCTAGAGGGCAAGTGGTTAACCACTTCAATACCGGGCACTTTTACCCCCTTTCTGCCCAGGCCAATTTTTAGGTTTCAGTGCTCTCACATTTGAATGACAATTGCACGGTCATGCAACACTGTACCCAAGCTACATTTTTATCCTTTTGTTCACACAACTAGAGCTTTCTTTTGATGGTATTTAATCACCACTGGGGTTTTTATTTTTTGCTAAGTTAACAAAAAAAAAAAAAACACAGAAAATTCAGAAAAAAAAACCCACCAGAAATTAAAAAAAAACCAAACAAGTTTTTCTTTGTTTCTGTTATACAAAATTGCTAATAAATAATTGTTCATAAATTTAGGCCGAGATGTATTCTGCTACATGTCTTTGGTGAAAATAACCCAAATCAGTATTTATTATTTAGTCTGTAGGAGAGTTAGAGTTCACAAACTATGGGATATATCTGAAAATTGATCAATCCTGAAGTACTGATGGCCAATCTAATTTCATGAGGCCCACAAATGTCAGAACAGTACAGATATCCCCCAAATGACCCCTTTTTGCCAAGTAGATAGTCTGATGTATTTCATAAGAGGCATAGTGAGTTTTTTGAAGTTGTCATTTTTTTTTGTCATTTTTTGGAAAATGAACAAATTAAAAAAATTGTCATATTTTTTTTTTTTACATACGGTCACCGGTGCAGTACAGTGTCATCATATAACTGGTGTGATGGTGATCAGGAACACCTACTGGTCACAGTACGGGGGGAAATTTTTTTTTTTTTTTTTTTTGTTTGTTTTTTTTTTTTTTTTTTTTTTTTTCGATTTTTCTTTTCATATTACAGTATGACCAAAGTAGTATAATGTTACCATAGTCCCATTGTACTACTTTGGGGAAGTGATCAGTATTTGTTTTTTTTTTTTTTTTTAAAGCAATATGATTGCTTATAGCAAATAATTTCTTTGCTATAAATAAGCATTTAACTGAATGAAATCAATTCATTCAGGTTGTTTTTGTTGTGATCAGCTGTGATTGGCCACGGATAGTCACATGACACAGACGGGCTGTGACTGGCCCGGTCTGTGCTTGTGTTCACTGTGATTAATCACAGCTAGTGACACAATTGTATACAATGGATGGCATGAAAGGAAGCCATCCATTGTTTACAACTGTCATGTGACCTGCTATGATTGATCACAGCAGGTCACATGGTACTGGCAACGGGCCGGTACACAGATCTGTCATCAGCTGTGTCCGAAGTACACAGCCGGTGACATATCTCACCACACCACAGCGCGGCCCTGCAGGTGCACACAAGGCGCGGTCCGGGAGGGACGTCATGACGCCCACCCAGATCGACAAGAGTCCCACCCAGCCTTAATTTTCCTATTGGCT